CCCCAAAACCCCAAAACCCCAAAACCCCAAAACCCCTTTTAATAAGCTTTTCATTGATTTTTGATTTAGAGATAATTTTTGTCCATTATTACATCGTCAAGCCCATCAGTAAGGGTATGACTTTCATCACTTGAGTAAGAGTCAATAGCATCAAGCTCTTCAGTATCGTATTCCTTTTCAATCCTTGGTCTTTTAAATTCAGAGACAGGCTTTTGCTCTGTCTTAGTCTCTTCCTCTTTGTACTTCTTGGTTGCATTGAGCTTGATGATTGGAGAAATATCTTCCATTTTGGCTTTCCTTTTAAGCTCTCTCTTCTTTATTTCTCCCTTCTTGAGTTCCTTATTTAATTCGCTTTTGTCAACAGGGTTGCGTCTTAAGTCACTAAAAGCAAGTTGGTACTTCCAATTGAGGTTCTCAATGTAGACTTTCGGTGTGAGATCCTCACCTCCATAATTTCTCATCCTGTGAAGAACTTCAGCGACATCGAATCTTTTGACAAGTTCTGGGAGCTCATCATCTGAGCTCCTGCGGTAAATTATTTCATACTTGCTAAGCGCCATTGACTTCTCAACTATCTTGACCAATGTGTAGAAAGCAAGTTTGGAGTTGATTCCAGGAATTTTCTTATCTGGATATTTATAATTTCTGACGATGAGGCCGACTACATCATATACCATCTTCTTTACTTGGTAATCAAGAAGGTCAGGGTTTATCTTCTGGGTGAGACCTCATAAGTACTCCTCGAAATATTTTGACATCTTACAATAATTGTAGCTTGTTTCAGTGTACCCCTTAGGAGGACATCCAAAGAAGTCAAGGTCATAGTCTTTCTTGGATGTATTGAGGAATTCTAATAACTTTGGGATATTTTCAAAACTTGCCTCTATTTTAGTAGCAAAATTTCCGAAATATTTAGGGTCCATCACACAGCAATTGGAAATCCCTGCCTTTAAGTCTTCTAGAGTCAGCTTTATGATTTCTTGGAGAATGCTGATCTTGGCGTCAAAGGATTTTAGGTCTCTACATTTTATGTATTTCTCAAGTTCTTCCCACTCCTTAGTTTTGTCTTCTTCAAGGTCACCGTATTCTATGAGTGTGTCTACCAGGCTGAAATCTTCATTTCACATTGTCTTACTGACAAGCTCAAGCATGAGGTTCTCCTTGAATACTTTGTGGATCCCAGTAGAGTAAGAAACTCTGGAGTAATCAGGCAAATTAGATTCTTTGGCACCCTTTAGTATGGTGCAAATAGTATTTCTGGACCAATAAGAAAGCCTATCCCCAACTGTTTGCGCAAGTCGAGCTTCCTCTTTTGAGAGGACTATGTCTCTGCATATTTTCATAATGAATTTCGTGTTTGAGGCTTTTGTATCAAGACTAGAGAATTTAGGACGGTTTATCTTACTATTCCTGGATTCCTGAAGACTCTATATGGCTGAGCTCTGACAAGTTGTAAACTACAAGGGATTTATAAGAGTATTCCAATGTGCTTTGAACCAAGATTTTGAGACAATCAAAGCTGCTCTGACTGTTTACTACAAATACAATCACATTTGTCCCATGGGTCCTGTTTAGATAGAACTGGTTCTTAGTCCTGGAACTAAGCCTGAGGTCAGGCTTTTCTTCATACTGAGCATTTAGAGTATAAGAAACAGTGTGGTGCTTTCTTTTCTTATCTTTAAGTAGTAAGTTTTTGCAGAACAGTAGCACTTCTTCAGTGTAAATACCCTCCTCCACCTTCTTTAGTAGGGTCTTTAAGGTCTTTTTTGAGTCTGAGAGAGAGGTGATCAACCAGTTCGAGAAAATTTTATTATCCCTAGAATCGCTCTCTAATTCAGGATTTGAAAGGAACAAGGATATCCTGTAATGAATAGTTGAAAGTCCTTTTGGAGGAACTTTACCACCTAGATTATAAGATCAAGATTTACTTATTTTGGGCAGGATGATCTTTTCAAGTCCGGCTGTGAACTTCTCATCTGATGTATCTATTAATTCCAATTTCTGAGAAGGTTTTGGCCTGTTAAGAAGATCTATAATCATAAAGCATGAGCCTTACCAAATCAAAATCTTCTTGGTGTCACAGGTCTTCAATAGTATGGAGTAAACATTGACTTCACATAGTGTTTGATCTGTTGACTCTTTTTATGGTATTGCTTAAATTTCTCAAAGAACATAAGCATGATCTCTCTGTTTCTCTTATCAATATTCTTTTTAGTCACTTCTTGCCGTTTCTTGATGAGTTCGATACGTTTGCGTTCAAGCTCTTCTTTTCTCCTACGCTCAGCTTCTTTTCTCTGCTTTTCTTTAAGGACTTTTAGTCTGAGTTCCTCTTCTGCTTTTCTCTTACGCTCTTCTTCCAGCTATATATAAGATCGAGGAGTTACCTTCTTCTTGCGTTCAGCTTCTAAGACTTTTTGTTGCTTAAGCTGAATCTCCTTCTGTTGTTGTTGTTGCTTCTCTTTTTGGATTCGATCTTGTTCTGCCTTCTTCTTCATTTGGGCTTTTAATTCAAGTTCTAGAACTTCACGCCCTTTAGCCCTTGCTTCAGAAGCAATCTTCCGTTTCTCATCAAGGCTCTGGACTGGAGCTGTAAGCGGCTTTTGAGTGATTGAAGTCGATCTTGATGTTATTTTTAATGTAGGAATGTTATTATCAATTCTACATGACACTCCGCGGATGATATCACCTCTGGAATGAAGCTTTTGACCATCTACTTTCTTTGATTCGATATATTTGTCATTTCTAACAGGCTTCCAAACCTTTCCATTTGGAGAAGAATAAAGTACATCAACTTCTTTTGAATTAGGCTCTTGATATGTAGTATAACCTGTAGTTTCAAGGAACTCTTTCGCTTCATTCTTATTGCCCATTCACAAAACCTCTGTGACAAGTTCTAGAGGGAGCTTGAATTTTAGGGCTTTCTTCTTAGTATCGGGGTCTTCCACAACATCCTTGATTCCCTTCAGTAAAATCCTTAGAGCTCTTTTTCTCATGTCATCAATTGTGTGGACTCAACAGCATGCTATCAGATAAGGAGCATTTCTGAATAATTTAAAATACTTCTCCACATCTCTGTTGTTATAAGCATGGAATATTTTTGTAGCATACTTCACCTCTTTTGCTTGTGCAACATCAGGTTTGAGAGACTTTAAGGTCTCAAGGACTTCGAGAGTGTCATTCATTTGAGTCAAGATCATGTAGGCTCTCATTTCTCCTTCAAAAGGAGATCTGTATACTTCAGAACTAGAGACTCCTGAACTTTTAGGATCATCAAGGATATCATTAACAGTATTATAACTTTCCCTGAGCATTGTTAGGGAAGAAGTAAATTGTTCATTATTCTGTTTGATTGAGAAATCTTCTCCACCTATTGCTTCGTTACTAGCAAGGCAATGGAACCGAGCAATCTTCTCTAACAGCTGGATATGCCCTTTACAGGTATTATCACCGATGAGAGTTAGTTCTTGCCTCATTGCTCTTGTTCTATCAAAGAAGAAGCGGTTAATTTCATCAAAGTGAATAGTCTTCTTTTGATAAAATTTAGTCTTTTCCATCTTATCTGAGTCAACTATTTCATCAAGCATATAGTCAAGTATCAGAACTTGAAGAGGAATCGGTCTGATTGTTAGCGGATCATCTAGCTTAATATCAGCTGCACTTCTTTTGTAGTTTTTAATACACCATTCAATATTTGCCTTGGGCGGACACTCCTTGCTGACGACTGAGAGGTCATTGTCGTCAGGATCGAGTTCAAATGTGTAGAGCTCTCTTCATCTTTCCCTCTTCTGAATCTCAGAGAGCTCACACATCCTCATCAACTGGGCTTTTTCAGTAGCTAGTTCAGGAAGTTTTCCTGATCTAATGTCAGCTTGAGATTTAGCTATAATTTTGATTATCTTCGAGTATGAATCTGAATTTATTTTCTTAACTAGCTTCAGCTTAGAGTTTTGGATATTCGAGGTTTGTTCAATATCATCTTGCTCAGCTTTCTCTCCAACAGAGTCAATCTCACTGAGGGCATCTTCTTTGATGTTTGCAATATCAGTTGGCTTTAAAGCCCCCTTCTTGGGATCACTTTTCTGTGACTTAAATTTTATAGACCTGATATTTCCGAAAGTGTCTGAATTATAAGCTTCTTCAGACTCTCCTTCACTAGATTCTGATTGGATCGGAGCTGGAGGAGGATTTTGTCTTATTTTATTAAGCATGCCTAAATTTGCAAACAGGATCTTACTTCTCAGATCTTTCCCTTTGTTAGGATTATCTTTTGGCGGGGAAGGAGCTTTTCTTTGCGGAAAATTTTCATCTTCTGAAATCTCATCTTCTTTCTCCTCCTCTTCTTCATTACTGTATTTATTTTCTTCCAGTGACATCTCTACAGATTTTGCTCTCGAACTCTCTACTGACATTGTTTCTGAAACTGCTTTCTTTTTCTGGGTTGGCTTTGTCCAAGTTTTATGACCCCCTTCAGGTTGCTGAGCAATTTCATGACTGAAATGACAAGAATCCCCTCTTCTGCACTGTCCTTTCTGAAAATATGTACATGGAATTTTCTTTCTAGCTTGGATAGCAGGGTTTTGCATCTGTCTTTCATAATATTCCTGAGAATCCATTTTTGAGCTTTTAGGCCCTCTTTCATACTTTGGAGCTGAATGTCTTCCACCTCTGGAATTATCACTCCTACTACTGGAGGAGAAATCTCTCGCTGTTGATCTTTGTAATTTATCAAATAATTTCTGTTTATCTCCTTTAGATGAACTTTGGTCTTTATTCCAAGTTTGAAATTTTTGATCGTCAACCATCTCAAGACTTGGATTTGATGATCTTGGGTTGTATCCTCCACCTGTAAACATTCCAAATGGAGCCCCTTGGTTGCCTTCGGAATTTTGAGACTCTCCTCTTTTTCTTCCTCTTAGTGACTGACCTCTTGGTCTTCCTCTGAAATCCCCTCGAAAGTCACCTCTGGGATTCCCTCTTGTAAAATCCTGTGTTCCTCTTGATCCTCTATGTTGACCTCTTGTGGAACCTCTTGAGCTAGAGCTCTCATATTGTGATGGCCTATGTTGCTTTGGAGCCTCGTTTTGGGCAGAGCCAAACCCAGAGCCTGCTCTTGGGTTAAAACCACCTCTTGCCGAAGGGCGGCTTCCAATCTGTTGGCTAACTTGAGGAGTATGCATCGCAGATTGCACACCTAAAAGTTTGTATGGTTAGAAATTTAGTAAAATTAGGTTCGAAAATTTAGCACACGAAAATCCGTATCGAGTAGCTTACCAAATATTGAGCCTTCTGATGAGGGAGGTTTGGGCTGATCCGTTGGATTTTTCTTTTTCTTATTTAGAGTTTGTATCTCTAGGGTTCCTAGATTCCATCCCTCCCATATGGGGTGATGACTGGGATCTGTCCTGCCTAGGTCTTTGACCCCTACCTCGTCTCGGATTAAATCCTCCTCTTGGGTTCCCACCTCCTCTAGAACTTGAAAATTCTTGTGGTGCGCTTTGAGTGCTCATACTTCCAAAAATAGACCCCTGTTTGTGCTTTGGGGCTGATCCAGAATCTCCTGTTCCTCCAAACATTTTTATGTTAAAATTTATAATAAATGGCAAAAATATGGGGTTTTGGGGTTTTGGGGTTTTGGGGTTTTGGGG